ATGCGATTTATAAAAAGAAGGAAAAATTACATAAATGATGATTCATGATTTTGATAGTACATTCCCTTAGAGTAGTGATTTCAATACTTACTTTAAATAAGCTTTAGGTTTTTAAAAACAGTAAGCTACTTTGAAAAGTTGGCTTAGAGTGATGGATTGATAAAACTATATTGATTATTTTGCAAGTGATCGTCAGCATATGATAAAAAATGGTAAATATTATAGACTCCCCCATAATACTCATGTATAAAGGGAAGTAAATAAGAAAAGAATAACAATCTTTAGGAATATTTAGGTACTACAAATAATGATCCTTTATTAGGAAAATGGATGACAGAGGAGTAATTTTAACAATTTTTTGCAGATAAATAAGCTTGATATTACAACATAAAATAAATTATTATTAGTTTTTTTTCTTATAAATTAAATTATTGGAATTAATGAGTTCTTGTATTATATTACATGTACAATATATATTATACTGAAAAAATAAAAGGTATTTAATTTTTCATTATGAAATATATAAATTTGAATCAATTTTCATCTTCATATGATTAAATTCTTTCTTTTGAAATTTTAACATAATGATACTTTATTATTTCAATTACTTAATTAAAAATTGAATGATCCCTATCTTAAATCTTTGACTTAATTGTTTAATAATGCTTTACCGGAAAGTTTAATTTATTCATAATTAAGTTTATCAAAGATTGTTTGTTCAAGTACATTATCATAGGAATTGTATAAAGTGAATGTTTAGATAACATTTAGAAATCATCAGAAAATTAAAATAAAAAAAAATTATATTAGTTTATCAGTTGATATTGAATGAAGATTTCTCTAACTAATCCTAAAAAAATCTAAAAAAAATAAGATAGTAAAGATATTTATATGTTTCCTCAGTACTTTTATATTACTGTTTTAAGGTCATTGAGTATAATCAGGCAAAAATGTCTTCATTTTTTATATTAATTTTATATTCATATTTTTCATTGTATTTGACTATGATAGGATAAATTAAAAGATCTTTTTTTAATCTGTCATTAGTAACCATAAATTATTTTATCTATAAGTTCATCAAAATTGTTTTTCTTATCAAGTGTTCTAATTATGGTTTGATGCATGCCTTCATTTTTTATTTAACTTAAAGGAGCAGCCTATTGATATACTCTAGCAACTGTTAGAATATATTTTTAATATAATTCTAATTTTTGGATTAGTTTTTAATAAACAGGGAACAAGTTTCTTCTATAAATATCAATATCTTTTCTTTTAGACATTCTATATTTTACAGACTCTTCATTTAACTTTCTTAGTCTAATTTCTTCATCAATTTCTGCTTAAGTAAAAACAGATGGTTTTACAATAACCTTTGTAATATTAATATCATTAAATGATAGAAATTATTCTAAAGGAACGATTACTTCTGGTTGATTTTCAAATTATTTATTATAATGTTGTGGTTCATCATTTATTAAAACTATCTATTATCTTTATTTTTTTATGCGGGATCTTCTAGAGCAAATTTAAGAAACTCTAAAATTTCCTTAGTTTCAAAATAATGATTTACACTTCTGAAAAGGTTTGAATTATTTTTGTATTTGAATAGTTTAGACTTTTCTTGATAAATCAACAAATGCTTATTAAACAGTTTATTAGACTCTAACACTTTTAAGTAAAGTTTATTCAAGTATTCAACTGCAGTAATTTATTATTCTGGTAATTAAATTTTACTAATACCTTAATCACATGATTCAGTTGAATAATCAGTTCCACTCTGTAATATTTTCATTTATATTGCAAATTCAATTTATTTTTCTTCATCAGATTTTTAAATAATTCCAAATTCATTCTAAGTTTTTTGCTTACCTTTTTATCGTGCATCATATTTTGCAAAGTGCAAAGTGAGTTCATGAGACGTTCTTTTTTCTTTATCAAATGGTGGATATTCAAGAAAATTACGAAAAGTAAATACTCTATGAAGATTTTTATATCAATAAATTTTTTATTTTATTATTTCTATTGTATCTGTGAACAAGTAATTCCTCAGACTGGTAAAATATGCTTTGCATTCGAATATTGTTGGGTTGGAAATGGATTTAGAGCAATGGTTATATAAAATGGATATCGAAACGTTGATAATGGATAAGGGTATTAATAAAATTAAATTATAAAAGAACATATTTATTAAGATATTCATCTTCATCATTTTTCTATCATTCTAATAATACTCAAGGAAAGCCATTTGAATTCAAAGTTAATGATTTAGTAATTGTTGAAATGAGCTTAGAACAAAAATATATAAAATGGAGTAAAAAGAATTCATAAGATTATCTAGTAATTATCAAAATATATTTAGATCACCAAAATTGATACATCTTAATTTTATATTTTTATCCATGTGTGTTTTTGGAAAATTCAGGAGTGACAATAAAAGATATATCATGATAGATAAGGACTTGATTATATTATTATATTTCATCTAACCTATAATACATGGTATGAATAATAAAATTAAAATGTTAAATTATCAAATTGTTTCTTTAAAATTTATGGCTATAGCAGTTCTAAAGTTGTAAAATTAAACAATGACCCATTATTAATTTGGTTAGAACATAAAGATGAATTTTTTTTTTTATATGAATAAATTATATATTTTTTGACAGAGGATTCAAAAATAAGATAGTATTTTAAACCTTAGATGCACAAATTTAAAAGGAATTTTATCATGAAAGTTTGTAGAAAGTAAATTAACACGCTAAACGAGAAATGACGTTAACATTTTATAATTTTATTTTAGAATGCACAAGAATCTTAAACCATTTTACAATTACCTGAGTATTTTATTTTAAGGAATAAATAAAAAGAATATATTGTAATTAGAAATAATTGTAATTTTCTACTCAGAATCAATCCTGCTCACGTCCTTCATCTTCTTCATATTCTTCATCTTCCTCATATTCTTCATCTTCCTCATGTTCTTCATCTTCCGCTTATTCTTCATTCACCTCATCTTCCAAATCTTCTTTAGCTTCACCATCAAAAGTATTTTCCAAAAAATAACTTCCTTTTTATTGAAATAATAATTTTAAATTGATTCCCGATTGATTTTCAAATTTTCCTTAAAGGATAAGAGCACCCTTTGCTTAAAATATGACTTCTTAAGATATTTGAAGATTATTGATATAAGAAGTTACTAAAAATAAATACAAATAATACCTTTTGCAAATGGCGTATTTTAGATTAATGGAATTTTGAATTATGCAAGTAGATCCTTATATTTTGAATCTGATGGTTAAATATATTATCCTATCATAACATCCCATAAACGGATTGAGTTATCATCACTACCTGATGCTAAAGTAGTTCCATCTGGAGAGAAGCATACTGATTGGACAGAATTTGTATGACCATCCAATTTGGCTTTTTATTATCCTGTCTTAACATCCCATAAACGGATTGAGTTATCATGAATACCTGAAGCTAAATTAGTTCCATCTGGTGAGAAGCACACTGATAGGATTCCAGATGAATGACTATCTAATTTGGCTTGTTATTATCCTGTCTTAACATTCCATAAACGAATTGAATTATCATAACTACCTGATGCTAAAGTAGTTCCATCTGGTGAAAAGCATACTGAATATACAGAACAAGTATGACCACCTAATTAGGCTTTTTATTATCCTATCTTAACCTCCCATAAATGAACTGAGTTATCCCAACTACCTGAAGCTAAAGTAGATCCATCTGGAGAAAAGCATACTGATGAGACAGTATTAGTATGACCATTGTATGTAAAGTACAATACAAATATATATTGAATCTCAGCCATTAGAAAGTTAGATGATATTTTTATACATTAGTTCTTATCAACTTGAGTAGTCAAAGTAATATTGTACTATACAAGTTCCAATATAAGATAAATCTATTTAATAAGTAAGGTAAAGCAGATTATTAAAAAAGAAGAAGACATTGAATAATATTAATTATCACATTTGGTGGGGATTTTTTTAATTATAGAAGAAGGATAATGGAAGATTATTGTGTATGTATTAATCAAGCCATACAGTAAATGTACAAGCAAAGACTGCAAAATAAAATTATCAGATTGACTGAGGCAGTTGCAGTAGTGCTTACAAATTTCTGGTACCTTCATAAAAGACAGCTTTATGAAACAGTCATCGAATAATTACAACTGAGATTGTTTAATTAGAAGAAATATAAATTTTATTCTCCCTGAATATGTTAAAGTTCCTCCATTACAATTTGTTTAGTTATACCAACATGTTTACAAGACTAATGTTAAATCTAGTTGTTTGGGTATGATTCTATTAGATGTAATGAAAAAAGAGTTTAGAGCATATACCAAAGAATATTATGAAAATGCCATTAATGAAGGGAAAATTACAATTAATGGCATTCGAATTTCTCCAGAATATCAATTGGATATTGATTATGGTGGAAAATTTATAGGAAATGAAAGGAATTATACTGGATATAGAAGAAGATGAATAAAATAAACAATAATCTCATTAAGTTGATTTAAATATTTAAAATTAAAAATTAGAGATTGTAGATTAAGATAAATATAGATTAGAAAGAAACTGTTTAATAATAAATATAATAAGTATAGTAAAAAGAATAGTAAATATTATAAAGAAAATAATAATAAGAAGAAAAGTAATATTAATAGAACTAATAATAAGAATAAGGTTAATAATAGTAATGGTAATAATAAAATGACTTATATAATAATAAAAGTTGTAATAATAATAATAAAATAATATCAAAACTAAACTATATTAATAATAATTTGGAAATACTTCTTTGTTAAATGATTGTATTGCTGGCAAAGAAGAATTGGATTATATTAAACATCATCCTTTAGAAATATACTTACATTCTTGAGTATATTTATTGAATGAATAAGAATTAAAAAGTAAAGAGCCATTTATATACAATAGATTATATAGTCTGCTATTGTGAGAAAATATCTATAATCTTATCAAGGATATTAGAGAGGAGAAATAAATCAACTTACATAAAATTATGCTGTTTTGATTGCAAATCCGTTTTTATTAACATTCTCTAAATATTAAAAAAG